GACACCGTGGTTCTGTAGTTGTTCTCTCTCAGAGGCTGCTAGAGCTACTGCTGCAAGACGACGAAAACTACTAAGACGACTGCGGCCCCGCAACCGCCGACACCCGCATGACGAATACCACGACGACCCCCAAACCTTCAGTCCACAACACAATTTACACTTGTCGAGGCAAGGAGATCCACGTGCCCAATCCTGCATCTACATCACGTCGTCCGGAGGCGGAGGCGGAGGCGCAGCAGAACGGAGATTGGTCCTTGCCAAAAGGATGTGAGGTATGGTCCGGTATTGTCGCAAGCTTTAGGGTTCTTGGCTGTGCTTGGGTTCGATTGAGGGTTTGGTGAGGTCGTTCGAGATAACACTGCCTTCACGGTCACCTTTGCCGCAGCATCCGCATGCTTCGGGACACCATAGAATCCGCGATGATACGGCATGCATCCGGTAATTGGCAGCGGTATGGTTCCCGGAGCTACTGAAGCACGTCTGCGTGTTACGACAGGCACAGATGTGATGCAGATGCTCTACATAAGTGCTTGTTGAGTTTGTTGCCCAGCTTCTCAGAAAATGAGGCCGTGAAACCAACATGCTTGGATCAGCATCCATTGCTCAAAGGCGGATATCGCTTGTTCAATGTATTGACAAACATCACGAACTTCTACCGACAGCGCGTGCGGTGCCAATTATACACGACATCCGTCGACAACCTTTCGCAACGCAACCCAAACCTGCACCCGGGCCCGGAGCCCAATTCCTCATCAACGACAGAACGCACACATAAGACTAGCGGTATCCCTCCCCAAGCTCTAGACTCTGTACCTTGCCTAGCCCGGCTGACTGTGGATGTGCACAATGTGCATGAGCTTGTCTTATGGGATTTAGGGTTGAAGCGGGAAGTTTGTGACTTGCCAGGCAAAGCAGATATGCCAAGTTTCCCTGCAGTAACAAGAGGCACAAGTACAAGTACAAGCAGCAACGATCACAAGAAGAAACAAAGCTTCGAAGCTGGTTGGAACTTCGAAATGCCACCGACATTGGATCCAGCTGGCCCCGAAAGCAACGATGACACCGCATGTGGTAGAGGGTTCAGAGGGTTAGTGTTTTGCATTGTTGGGCTAGCAGGCTCGAAGCACAGGTTTGTGTCAACGGCTTTACAAAGCCGGCAATGCGTCCGCAAAAGATCCGCCAAAGCAGGTGCGAAAAGGAAAACAGTTTTGCGCGAAAGTTGTATCAACACGCGACAACATACAGCAAGATTCAGTTTTGTTCTGCGCATCTTCAGTCGACTGAGTCTCAAAGAAGCGCGCGAGAATAAGCTGTTTTAGCTGTGTCCATGACAGCTTGAAAGCTGAAACCCTACGGAGAATAAGTTCCTGCAGCCTTGCATCGTTTGAGCCCGCAGCCCTTACAGATTTGAACTCCGGGCCTGTCGTCGTACCGTCTGCCTGGCGAACTCCTACCTTGAACAAGTGCTCAGTACTTGGATTGACTCGTTCGGGTCACACTCGCCTGGAGTTCGATCTGTAAGGCTGTTGGAAGCTCATACGGTGCAATGTGCAGTCAGAAAAAGGGACCTGCGGAGCCTAAAGGGGTTGTCGTAGTAGTGACCGGTTGTGGCTGACCACGGCTTGTAAGTTTGAGCTCAGGATTGGGGATTTTGGCAGTGAAGTGTGCGAAAGTTCCGCGAAAGCTCAAGTGTGTCTTGAAGGCAGTAGGCCGCCACAGTTTCTCACAACAGCATTGCATGAGCTCTGCCAGAAGGAGTTCAGACTGACTTCAAGGCAGAAATACAGAAATTCATGAGGCGCCATAGTGCGAAAACAGGTTTACAATAGATGCAGGGGGCTGCTCGTAGATACCATGGCGATGGAAAGAATGGCTTGTTTGCAAGCCTGTATGTATGGATGTATGTGCTTGTGTATGCTGTATGTACAATACTGCATGTATACTGCATGTATGTACGTTTGTACATATACATACATACATATACATAAACATAAACATAAACATATACATATACATATACGTATACGTATATATGTATATGTATATGTATATGTATATGTATATGTATATGTATATGTATATGTATATACTTCTTCTTCTTCTTCAGCATGCTGCTTGGTCTGAAACTGGAAAAAACTAATGACTACTGAAGCCAATGCCAGTGCCGCTCTTGTACTGCTACGTATTGGCCCCGGGGGGGGGTGGTTGAGCTATTCGATGACCTGTTCGATGAGGTAATTCGCTGAAACACTCTGAGAGCTGCGGTGTCGTACTCATTTCAAGGGGTTTTCGCGGGATCGGATTTTGTGTGGAAAAGAGGCTCGCGGTGTACAGCTTTGGTTACTATATCCGTCCAATGCTGCTGGTTGTTGGTGTCAAATTGAGATCCGTGGTGTATCATCGCATATGCATCATTGCATGATTCCAGCAACCAATTCGCTCTCGGCTTTCCAACCCTCTTGATGTGTTCTATTCTCGGCGCATATGTTCCTTGTTCAAAGAGAACTTCACGCATTGGGCCACTTGGGGCACATCTTAGTATATGTCCTAGCAATGTATTTTTCTCTGCTTCCATTTCAGTACATGTTTGTATCCATGTTCTTGAGCTACGGTATGGATGACTCTCTGGTTGGTCCAACTTCCATCTAGGTGGGTTGGTGGTACATTTAATACTCGTCGAAGCATTTTGGTTTGGAACGCGTTTCGCTGATATTGCTCACGCTGTGTGAGTTGAATTGTCTCCAGGGCATATGTTAATTTTCCGAGAACAACAGAATCTAGAACTCGAAGTTTCCACGTTTTTTGTAGTTTGAGCCTTGGACCAGAAAAGGTTTAACTGTTTTGTCACAGCATTGGCTTCGCCTATTCGTTTAACAATTTCTTTGTGACTATCTATTGCATCCGTCAAAGTGGCTCCAAGAGGTTGCTTGCGTTTTCCTTGGTACATAAGTGCCGTCCAGGAATTTGGTTGCCAAGCTTTAGGACGCAGTGATCTTGTGATTCAGCTTGCAGCTGTCCTTGAAGACTGAATGAATGGAGTTACAGGCTTGAATGAGGCTTGAAACCTTGATGCGTGCTGTCCTTTCAGCTGACTTCAGCTTCTTCGTCGTGTCAAACGAAATGACCCAGACGGTGACGCGAAACAATCTCGAAATCTAAACCATGCAGGTTCACGGAGCTTTTAATCGTTGAGGGGTGTCCCTCCAGGATCCTTACTGTAGTGAGGGCTCTACTTTGAGCCCATCAAGCCGCCGAATTCGTCAACTGCCGTTCCTGAGATCTGGGACCCCGAACCACGACCTGAGCTCTGGCCTTGGATCCGTTAACCAGACGTTTAATCCGAGAAAACCTCCACAAAGCATTCAAAGCCTTACCGGTAACCCTGCCCAGGGGCCTTCCGCACCCGCACAAGTTGACGACACCGGCGGAGGCACAGCTGCAGGCTGGTTGGGGCTTTGGATTTTGAAGGTTCAGGGTTGTAGCTTTGGGTTAACAGTGGAAAAAGCTTCAGGTTCACTAGTGCTCGGGCCTGGGGCGTTGAAAGCTCGTAAGCTCTGGGGTTTACCTACGGGTTCAGCACCCAACAGGGCATGGAGTACAACAAGAGCAGCAAAACGGTCGAAAGGGATTCGAGCTTTGTGGAAAAACAAGCGAAGCGAGCGAAAGGGGCTACAGCAACTGAGAAGAGCAGCAAAACCGACTGAGACGAACAGCGACGGCTCCAATGGGAATGCGGCATTCGAGAAGCAGGAGCATACCGCTCAAACGGGACCTTTGCCTGACCTCTGCGTTTCAGCAACGTTGTTAAACAGAGGAGCCATCCGCTCGAAGGGATTGGGAACAAGCAGCAAACCACTCGAAAGGTACTCCAGCAGTTGAGAAAGAGGGGCCAACTGGTCGAAGCGGACTAGAGCATCTGACAAAGAAAGAGGCAAGAGCGTCTCAGAAAGTGCAGGAAACCACTCGAACGCGACCAGGGCGTTAAGAAAGCGCAGGAAACCGCTCGAAAGGGATCCGAGTACAGTAGACCGGGGAGCAAACCGTTGCAAAGGGATTAGAGCAGAAAGATAATAAACCGCTCAAGAGGGAGTAGAGCTTTTGAAAGCGGCGACAAACCGCCCGAAACGGCACGGCTGAAAACGGCTCAGAAGAACTGGCCGGCCTGAGAAAGATCAGCAAAACGCTGATCTGGAAGGGGTAAATAAATCTCACACACAGGAGCCAACCGCTGGACAGGGACTCGAGCATCTCAGTGAGTGCAGCAAACCTCACGACAGGGACGAGGTCATTTCAAAAAGAGCAGCAAACCGCTCGATGAGGCCGAAACATCGGAGAAACACGAGGCAACCGCTCGAAAGGGAGTAGATCCTTTGCAAGGCAAGCAAACCTCTCGAAACAGACGGGAACATTGTTTGGAGCGAAAGCAACAGAATGCGCACAAGGGACTTGAACCTTTGAAAACGAGCAGCAAAACGCCCGCCAGGCACTAGGCCATTTGAGCAACAGGAGCCAACCACTCGCAATGCAGCGGGGCATTTGGCAAGGGGGAGAGGCAAGCTGTTTGTGTTAGTTATGAGGGGTTAGGCTCAGGGCTGCTGTTGAGATTTCCGACGAAGTGTTAAAGCAGCCCAAACCCTGGCACACGTAAATGTTTGAATGCCGATCTGGCTAAGGCCTTCAGGGTTTGGGCTGAGGATGCCTGGCTTGCTTGAGACTCAGTTTGGCGAAGCCTGTCTGATCTTAGCTTGCAAGGTCGAAGGTTTTGGAAAAGTCCGCTGCACAAAACCTGGCCTTTGAGGGACCGGCTCAAGCAAACGCTAAACCCCCAAACTCGAGACCCAAAGCCCCGCCGACATTTCCCTGGCAAAAACCCTTAATTCCGAAAAGGACCAATCCTGAAAAATTGAACTTCTGAACAAGTCCCCTAAATTTCTGAAGTCCCCGTAGCAGAAAATTCAGCGGTTTCCAAGAAAATTATGCCCAAAACCAACTTCCATCAGGTGGCAGCGACCACGAACACGACGGAATCGCATCAGGCTTTGCGGCCCTTGAGTCCCCTTGGAGCGTTGCACACCTGTCTTTAGCGGCTCAGGGATGTTTAGGCTCAGGGATTTGGGGTTCCGAGGTTTAGAGTTGGAATAGGGCTTGAGGGGCTTGGAGTTCCGGCTTGAGGCCCAATTTAGTCCGGGGATTGAGGGATTTGGGACCTCGAGATTTGGTCTTTGGTTCTGATCGGTGCTGCAGATCTTCTGCTCACTGTTGCTGGACAGCACGACAACGAACTTACACAGGCTTGTAGAGCCGTGTGTAGGTAGGTGCTTCAGTTTTTTCTTGAAACGATGGGATTCAAGAAAGTCCATGCCGGCAGAAGTGTGATCTTTGGAAGTGTTGAGGGGCAACATGATTCACAACGGTGCCTTGAACCCGAATCTTCAAATCATCAACGCGGAAAGCAAAAAAACTTAACCCTCGAGCCCTCAACCCTAACTTGGGCTATAACCTTTGGCCCTATCAGTGCCTATCAGCCCTCCAAAACCCTAAACCCGATGCCGACATCCGCTAATATATCCAACACTCTCGAATAAGAGATTTGCAGTTAGCGGATAATGCCGTTTCTGCGACTGGTGCGACTGGCAGCACAGCGCTATACAAGCACGCAGAAGCACCAAAAGCTCCTTGCTTTCTTGTACTTGTGGATACAATCCTGCATCGTGTACAATCCTGCATCGTGAACCATGAAACTATTTGTGTCCTGAACCCCCCAGGCCCGAATCAGAAGACTCAGCAGTTTCAGCCCTAAGCCCTTACAGGTGCAAAGCCGAAGAATCAATAACGCCTCACCCAAATCCCTTAAACCTTAAGCCTTATTTTAAGCCCGCGGCATTTATGTTGGAAAGGAGGCGGCGATCAAAGCTTGCCTTCAAGTGACGATTCTGTGACCCCACAAGACACGAGGCCGTGGAGGTCTTGATGATTTAAAGTCTTAGGTTTCAATTCGTCCGGACTTTTCGGGCTGAGGTTTTGGTCCTTTTGGCAAAGCTAAGGTTATCATTAGTGTTATAGGGTTTGGTTGGGGCTTGTAGAGTTGAATGTCTTGGGGTCTAGAGTTTGCAGGTGTTCAGGGCTCCAGTGGTCTTGCTGTTCGTATGACTCGCTCTGGCAATGATGGGTAACCATGATTATGTTATTGTCGCGGTTCTCATATCCACAAACACTGACCAGGGCCACTGGCAGTCGTTATGGAAGCAAGCTCATTGCTGGTTGTATAGAATGATTATGACACTGGCTATTGTTATTGCAACTGCTGCCGTTGTTCTGACGATGGTTAAAGTCATGGTGATGGCTTCGATGCAGACGAGGGTAATGATCATGGTGGTGGCGGCGGTGGTGGTGACCGGTGACGGTGGCTGTGGCCAAGGTGATCAGGGTGAGAGTATGATGATGGTAGAGGCAGTGGTGATGGTGACGGTGATGGTGGTCGCAATGGCGATGGTGATGGTGATTATGATGGTGCATGATGATGAAGATGATGGCGATGAGACAAGTATGGCTGTCTGAAATGGTATTCGACAGTATTTCTTCGTGCTTGCTTATTGCAATTGGTGCTGCCTTGCTGGTTGGTGCTATGGCTGCGGCTATACTGTTCCATGTCGAGTCGAACGTCAAGGGTTTATAAAGTGGGACTACGTAGTTGTCTTGGCGTTGAAATTTCAGGCCTTAGAGGAAGTTTTGGGGCCCTGTCAGGCCGGTCGTCAGCAGCGGGTGCTTGGATTACGGCGGCACTTGTTTCTCTGCCCACTCTGGGTATGGTCACTGCCACCTGGACTTCTCGACCAACACTATTTTGAAAGTGTACGATACCCGTCTCCGCGGCGCCATCGATGGACGCTTTGAAAGAGTAGAGGCTGGTCAGCTGGTCGTAGTGCAGTCAACGCTTAGTTTCGATGGCTTTGGTTTCTATCGCTTTGGCGGCATGGTGTGCATCGTACCACGGGCTTCGTGCCCTGATGGCTTACCGCTCACTCCAGTTGCACTGTCGGAGTGCCCTTCTGAAGACATGTTCCTCAAAGGATGTGACCTGGCACAACCCGGCGAGCTGTGTGAGGCTACGGCTACAGGGGTGTGCAAGACGAGAACCGACCTTGGCAATTGCGACTTCAGCGACTCCGATATGTCACGAGGTGTCTACAGGAAAGGCTTCCCTGCCACAACTTGGACCACCACAAGCATAACCACAGTAACCGCTACGTCCACTTACGTTGTCGATGGTCTGTGGCGATACTGAGGGCCTTGCCAGATGGTGCATGTCTCAGCAGTCCTAACTATCCTGATGCCTATGGCGCACGCGAGATCTGCTTTGCGACGCTGCCAGACTTTACCGTCGTGAGAGTCAACAAATTTGCAACCGGCACCGATGGGGACTTCCTCACCGTGAATGGCAAGCGATACAGTGGTCCTCAGTGGCTGGGACCGAGGAGCTTTGTGCTCCATTCCAAGCTTTCCTGGAGATCTGAAGGCCAGGCCGGCGGAGGATGGGAGCTGTGTGTGGAGGATTTGCCTTCGTGCATTGATGGCTTGGAACTGAGGCCGGTTTCTGTTCTGGACTGTCCTCCCGGCACCGAAAGTCTTCCGAACTGCCGCAGTGCTGCTCCCGGGGAGTTGTGTGAAGGTGATGGAACCTGTGGCACGAGGACAGACATCGACAACTGCTACGACAGCAGCTATTCGTACCCCCCCAGGCGTGATGTGTACAAGAAGTTCTTAGGAAGCACGAGAACAACAACAACTAGCCGGAGCTTCACTTTCACATCTACGACGCTCACAACTGTTACAGCCACATATGGAGACGTTGTGGATGGTTGGTGGCGATACTGGGGGCCTTGCCAGGTCAACGGCGCATGTCTCAGCAGCCCTAACTATCCTAATGCTTATGGTGCGAACGAGATCTGCGTTGCTTCCCTGCCAGACTTCTCCGTCGTCAGGGTCAGCGCGTTTACAACCGAGACCTACAAAGACTTCCTGACAGTGAACGGCAAGTGGTATAGTGGTCCTCAGTGGCTGGGACCGAAGAGCTTTGTGCTCCAATCGAACCTCTCATGGAGATCCGACGATCAGCACGGCTACAGCGGATGGGAGCTTTGTGTCGAACTGCCTTCGTGCAGCGACGGCTTGGAACTGAGGCCGGTTTCTGTTCTGGACTGTCCTCCGGGCACCGAAAGTCTTCCGAACTGCCACAGTGCTGCTCCCGGGGAGTTGTGTGAAGGTGATGGAACCTGTGGCACGAGGACAGACATCGACAACTGCTATGACAGCAGCTATTCGCATCCACCAGCTCGTGATGTTTATGTCAAATCGGAGGGGGTCGTTGCGACAAGCACTACTAAGACCGCGAGCACCACACTCACGACGACATCGACCGTTTCCACAACAACTCTTGCATGGAAACGCGAAGGCCCCTGGAATCACGTGGGGCCTTGTGCCGTTCGTGATGGATGTGCTTTGAGCCCTGCCATCGGGGAGACAGTAGAGGCTGAGTGCTCCTTCGTCCTCCCAAGAGGCAGCACGATCAAGGCAGCGTGGCTTGCAGGGTGAGGGTGAAAGTGAACGAGAGGCAGACAGCAGACAGTTATGGACGGCAGACAAATTCTCAACGGTCGAGGCTCCCGGTCCAGCTGTGAGTGAAACAAACATGGCTAGGCAGAGGGAGTTTGGGGCCTGGAGCTTGCGACAAGGGTACTCCCACGCGTGCTACTGGGGAGGGGCCCGCCACGCGGGGG